GAGTTTTTTTTTTGTATGAAGAATTCTTTAAAAGATAAATAGATACAAAAATATTTTGATAGGTTTTTTGGATAAATATTTTTTTTTACGGGTAAAGGCAATTATCCCTTTAATATATATCAAAAAAGCATTAAGAAATAAATATAAATATCTAACATCAAATATCAAACATGGTCATGCATAAATATTAAGTTTCGATGTCAATATTATAGAGACATAAGCTTGTGAAATATTTTTTAAGGTAAACATATTAATATTTTTTTTAATTTTAAAAGCTTAAAATAAGTTTTTTTTTTTCATATGAAGAAAGCCAAATTAGTTTACGATAAGAGTTATATATTTGGTTTTTTTTTTGTATGAAGAATTCTTTAAAAGATAAATAGATACAAAAATATTTTGATGGGTTTTTTGGATAAATATTTTTTTTTACGGGTAAAGGCAATTATCCCTTTAATATATATCAAAAAAGCATTAAGAAATAAATATAAATATCTAACATCAAATATCAAACATGGTCATGCATAAATATTAAGTTTCGATGTCATATACATACATACTAGTTCAAATTACAAATATAAACATGCTAGACAGAATTAAACAAGTAAACATATTCGTCAAATAACATAGTCTGAACCCAAATTTTGAACATAGTCAAACCATCTTAGCAAGCATGCCTATAGTAATGTTGGTTCACAAAATTTTGAACTCAAATTTTTCTCAAATTAGCATTTTTTGCTATAAATGTTTTTGCCAACATTTCATTTTGAATCAAATGCCTCCTCAAGAGTGATCTCATCAAAGCCTTCAATTTTCATCACTTTCGTATATGACGCATTAACATCAAGTTGATTTTTACTAAGGTTTTGAATTGCAAATGCTACATCTCCAATCTATTTAGACAACTTTTCAACACCATCATCTTCATACATGCGATTTCTCTTCCTATGTTGCCCCTTTTGTGTGCTAAAGGAAGATGTTTCTTTTCCCTTAGAAGTTTCTTCAAATTCCCTTTCATTTTCAATTGAAATTGATTGCTCTTCAGTGTGCTCTTCCAAGTTGACATCAGCATATGATTTCGCATAATTTCCAGTTGCCATGTCTTTTCCAACAACAATTGTCATTGTGCAAAATGATGATATAAAACCATGATAAAAATGCACTTTTAAGTACTAATCAATATGCCTATTCATAAAGTTTAGAATATGCAATTTTTTAGTTCATTGTATAACATTTTAGAAACAAAAGTAAATATAAAAATTACAAAGAGTCTAATATTTATAATACCTTTACTTCTTCATCATATACATCTTTTAAAACTGTAATCATCTTCAAACAATCATCCTAGTCAAAGCCACTTTTATTTTAAGTTTGGTTATTATTCTCCATTTTTTTTTTTACAGTCTTGATATGATTATCCACATGCTTAGACTTGCATTGCACATTGAACTTTTGACTGATTTCTGTAGCCACCTTGACAAAAGATTTTGCTTTAAAGGTGGAAGAAGGTTTGCTTCCTTTTAAGTGTCTCCTTAGCTAATATCTCAAGTAACATGTGAGATATAGGCTTAGACCATGTGAAGTGCTTGCCCTTGCATTTTTCATTCTGTGTGGAACTCATTTCTACAATATACAATTCATAAGTTCACAACAATCAATAAGATCAATCATTTTAATTCTTAAAAATAATGTGATTATCGAATAATTACATAAATATAAATTTTAAAAATCACCTCTCATGCAGCAACACAACACACGATCGAGTTCATGGCTAGGGTCAATTCTATTCTATTTTGATTTGTTAGTTATAACCATGGTGATTGTTGAGTTATTTAGGCACTAATAGGTAGGCAAGGCTGGTCCATAATATTTGTATAATAAACAAACTAATCAACCCAATCATCAGTTACAAATTAGAGAGATTTTATTGTTAATCTCTATTTTTAGGGGAACAATACCTACTTAGAGTTGTATTACATTATATTTCATTATGTTACTAAACACATAATTTATAACTAAAATTACAAATATAGTATAATTAGTTCTCATGATCTTAGCTGTGTTCTACTACAACCACATGAACAAACTATAGCAGCCTATACCTTTGCTTTATAAAAAAAACCCCATTGTTCCCTAGCTCTTGCATTGCAAATCTCTAACTCTCTCCTATAACTTAATTAAGACATCATCATTCGGTTTCTTATAAATTCCCCTCATTCCCCAGTTCATTTGGTTTCTCAAATTCCCCTCCATTCCGTTCTTATTCGGTTTCTCTCATTCCATTGTCATTCCTCTCTCATGCTGATTTCTCAGAAATTCTCCTCATTCCCCTCTTATTCCACTGTCATTCCCCTTATTCGGTTTCCCCTCATTTCCCCTCTCATTCCCCAGTTCATTCGGTTTCCCCTCATTCCCCTCTCATTCCACTATCATTTGGTTTCCCCTCATTCCCCTCATTCGGTTTCTCAAATTCCCCTGTCATTCCCCTAGGTTCCCCCTCATTCGGTTTCCCCTCCTGCATACCTAGTTCTCTCTCAGCTGTTCTCTCGTGGCTGTTCTCTTTCAGCTCTCTTTCTCTTCCCCTGTCCTCTCTCGCCATTCCCATGTTCTCTAAAGAAGCAGGACAACATCACATATTCAAGGGGCAAGAGGGCTAGACCTCAAGGATCTGCTCCTCATTCCCAGTTCCCATCCCTCTTTCCCCCGATAGTTTCCCCTCCTGTTTGCGTCTCTCTCTTGAAGAAGCAGGACAACATCACAGATTCAAGGGGCATGAGGGCTAGACCTCAAGGATCTACTCCTCATTCCCAGTTCCCATCCCTCTCTCCCCCGGCAGTTTCCCCTCCTGTTTGCGTCTCTCTCTTTGTTTTGGATCCGATGACGGGGAAACAGGGTAGGGACTGGTTGGGGCAGCTGCTGAATGGGCAAGAAAAATTGTGTTTTTTATGGCTTTCTTTTGGTGAATTTGGTTGGGTTTTTCTATGAGCTTGTTTGAATGTGACGAGGAGATGAAGAAGAAAACGAGGTATGGGAAAAAAGTTAACGGGCAGCTTCCCCAACCATGATGGATTGTTTGCACAGCAAATACAAATACAAAGAAATAGTTTTTTTCATAACAGACAAAAAATTAAACAAGATCAAGGATTTTTTGCTATAATTCTTACAGATCTAAAAAATACGAAGAAGATAAAAACATAAAGAGAAATAATAGAGAAATTTGAGGGAAAAAATACCTGAAATGTAAGTGTAATTCTCCAAATCTTCTTTGCTTTTCAACTATTTTCAGAAAGAGACAAAGAGAGGAAAGATGTGTTTTATCAGTAAAGGAAAGTGTTTTCCTTTTGACAAGGAAAGGAAAACACTTTCCTGCAGGTAAAGGCAGTTTTTTTGTTGACTGGGATTAACTTTCCTTTGACTAACTTTTCTGAATGGTTGCCAAACATGGGAAAATAAGGAAAATGAATTCCTGGAATTTGGTTTCCTTGAAACAAACAAGGCCTGAATATGAAAAATAAACTAGAAAAAATATTAGTTTTTTTTTAAATAGAAAAACATCATAAAATTAAAAAAAAATAACCAAGAAAAATATTTATTAAAAAAAA